ATTTATAAAAGTAAATCAGAAGAGAATTTATAGTAAATAAGCAGGCAAATTTGCCTGCAAAACCCTACAATCTAAGGAATAATTAATATTATAATTATTATAAATTAAATAAAATATAAATGTTATATAATTCTTACCTTATAGCAGCATATTCACCAGCAGAATCAGAAACATAACAATTAATTTGAATACCTTTTTTTTGTTTAGCATCATCCATTATATTTTTAATAAGAATTTTTACATTTTCAGTTCTTGATTGTTGATGACTATATCAAATGCTTCCCAAATTAAAGGTTCACCATAAAAAGTAATGAAAATAATTCCAAAAAGACGCTCCTGTTTAATTTTAGTTTAATTACCAAAAGCTGCTGTTACTCCAATTTTATCATTGGATGCAACTTGTAAAATTGACTTTGTTAATTCATTAGAATTTGGAAGTATTAAATCACTTATTGCTCATCGTCCAGGAAGTTTTAATGCAGGTGAATAAAATTGAAAACATCTTGTGTTTTCTTATTCTCCATAATGTAAAAGGAAGGCCATTTGAAACTATCATAAGCAATACCAAATTTTCAAAATATTGGTTATCTTTTGTTGATAAACATAATTAGTAAGGGTCATTTGTTTAATGACAGTTGTAAATGGAATTATCATCAATTTTAGAAACTTTCGTAATATCTTTTTTGTTGAGAAGTTTTTCTTCATCCTCCGGTACATGACGTGAAAGAATTTCTTTCATCTTCATTATACTCTGCTCAAAATTTGAATATTTCTTTAAGTGTTCTCAGCATAATTTTGCTTTGTTAGAAACTAAATAATCAGATCTTGTAATTGCAATATATGTATACTTTTGAATACATGAGAGAAACAAACAGCCTTTTTGTTCGCCTTTGGATTATCTGGTTTGGTTAAAAGAATACTTAAATTCTAAATGACACGGAATGACCGGTCATTTCAACATGACTTCGGGTCATTTGAAAATTAGTCAAGTGACCTGGTCATTAATTAGCCACCACAGGTTGCGGTTACTCTTGCATTCTTCCCAGTTTGATCGATCTAATTTCATATCATTTTGCACTTCCATTAGTAAAATTGACATTACCAGCTGCAATTGACTTGACCGACCATCAAAGAATAAAAAGTTTCAGAAATTTTATTGACTTCATCAACCCTGATGTTGACCAATCCTAATTCACAGCAAACACAGCCCGAATACTACTACGAATTAAAAACAACTATTTAGAAATCAATTTATTAAACGAGAATTAATTAGAAATTCTTACTCGAACGATCCCAACTTAAGTTTGGTTTGGCGCCTAATGGTTAATGACAATATCATGAAAAAGAACGCAAACCAAAGCAAAATTAGCTAAGAATTTTATAAATTATATTGTTGATTACATATTCACATTGAAGAGGGTAGGCGGCCAGAGGTCTTTATTGCATTTTAAATGTTTCCATATAAATTGTGATATTAAGTTGTACGATGTCATTTATTTTGAAAGGAGAAAAAAGTAAGTCTTATTAAATATTGTGTTTATCTATAAACGAAACCTGGAGTAGATTTTTTTTTTAATGAGGAGGAGTCTATTACCTTCGAATTCACATAAGTTTGTAGAAGACTACAATAAATTTCAACGTCAAAGGTATGACTTAAATATTTAAAATTTTATATATTCATTTTTCTATTATCTAACGATACGATACCTTTGTTTTTTGTTAATAAGATAAAATCACGTGATCAAATTAATTATTAGTCACCATAAGATTATTTTTTAACATGTTCAGTTGATCACTTCGGCAGTAATGGGCTAGTTGTCGGGAGGATGAGACAGCGTGGGAATGGGGGTGGGAATCGCGTCTTCGGACCGACTCCTAGTCTAGTCGAAGTGAAGTCAAAAAAAATTTTTTTTTACGTAATATTTATCACGTGACTTAATTGCACATGATTGATTTGAACCCATATATTATAAATACTAATAGTACAAGTTAATCGACTCATTTTACAAAATTTTAATTTCATAATTTTAGTCTCAAAATGTTTTATCGTTACAGCTCGAATAATTCATTTCAAAATATAAAAAAAACTGAGCTTTCTATAAAGCTTGCTCGGGGCAGCAAAAAAGATATACTATGGTAAGCATGGCTGATAGAATTAATAATTTACAGTCCATTCAAACAAAAGACAAAAAAGACCTTGACTTACGGAATCGCGATAATCAAAAAAATGCAGCAGTGATGGAGTTGAAGGGAAGGGTACTTGCATTGTTTGGTGCTGGTGAGTTTATTTCTGTCATCGGGGGTCATTTTGGGTATTTTCTTAGGATGTTTTTCTAGGACCTATATATTAGTATATTCCAATTTCATAAAATTATATAAAAAAAGCAAAGAATCATAAGGATTTAATTTAGCATAGGTTAATTATATTAATGGTAAAAAATGAGAAAACCTTATTTATAGGAATTTATTTTTCTATAGATTTCTTTTTCCGATGATGTCTTTGAATATTCTTTTGGACATATCCTTTCTTTTAATAAATTATAATGTTGTGTTTATTATTATAATCTTTTTTTTTTTACAATAAACTTATTTATTTTCAAAGAATATTATTTAATTCATAATAATTTTTACTGATAATTTTATTTTTTACATTTTAGATATTACTAAGAATATTATCCAGATTACGGATTTCTTAAATTGAAAACGTGATACAAAAGTATTGGTAAAGAATATTACCCTATATTAAGGCGAATTATTGGAAACAATTTTCTGATCTTTGAGGCAATATTTTCTCGCATCGTGCAGCCTGGGATGAAACTTTTGTATATATTTACATTCGTTTTAGATTAATATTAAAGCAAATGTCGAACAAATTTTATTTTAAAATTCTTATCATTTTAATCTCTAATGAAGAACTCAAGGGACGGTGCGTGAAGCATATAGGTAAGTTCGAATAAGAATTCTTGTATTGTAATGCGCTTGACTAATTATTAATTAATGATCAACTGCGATATGTACGAATTCTAGAATTTTGAGAAGTCCTAGAATTTAGGTGAGAATAATAATTGAGAATTCTCAATAATTTTCTTCTAGACATGCTTGCTTGCTTAATATTAACGAGTAATTCATATTTAACTAAACATATGCAGCTGCAAAAAAAGAAGGCGATTTATCATATTACTTGACTTTATTCTAGATATTCTAATTGTTTACAAAAAATTCCTTTATCCGGTTTTGATAATTACGTAGAAATTATTTTTAAGCTACGACAAACAAATTTTACACCATCAGGATCATAAGGTGCTTGTATTAGCGAAGATACTTCTAGATACTTCTAGAATTTAGCTATCATTTATGGGAATTCGTTGTAAAATGGTATGATACACCAACTAACCAGACCAAATTTTTCCGATTGATTTTTTAAAATCTCAGTTAAAAGTTATTTTTTATTTATTTGTTATGTTTAGTAAACTATTGCGATTTATTGAGAAATAACGCATCATCGATAGCAACATGGGCTGTCATGAAAGGATGACTACAAATAAGCATGAAAATTACAGCACCAAGTGAATTGCACTGAAAAGAGCTTAAACAGCAAAATAAAATGAATCCTAACTTTAGGTTAACTTATAATATTGAGTTTGGAGCATATCCGTATTATGTAAAAACCTGAATTATTTATTCAAAGTTTAAAGTAATCTTGGATGATCAAGTTTATTTACTAGTCCATAAACGAATGGGGAGCAAAATATTTCGATGTTTGTTGAGCTCTAACCAGATAAGAATGAGGTTGAATACAATTTAATTTCAATCTGTACGAAGTAATTTTAGAATCCGTAGAAACCTAAACAAAAAGGCTTCATGTTCCTAGAACTATACGAAGCGACTAGAATTATAAAAATGAATGTGGATGCCAACCTTACAATATATTTCTGACGTATCGTACCTTTATTTTTTCGTGATTTGGTAATTTATTTAATACAGGACAACTACTCACACTCGATCTGCTCTAGCTGATTTTATGTGTCAATATCATTTTTTGTATGTCACCGATATAGTTAAAATAATTATAATTTGCTGGCATTATTTGTAAAATTTGCATTTGTTTTTAAATATTGAGAACTTCATAAATTCTGAATGAATTATGTTTTCCAGCCACTACAAGATACACCTTTCCTAATGAAAACTTATTTTTTTGGAAAAAGGCTAATTGTAATCTTGATAAAATATAATCAATTGTCTGATATGCTTGAATTTCAGGAGTATCCACAATAGAGAAAATAAAATTTGATGGAGGTTGAACGTTTGATGGAAAGGGAGAACAACCTGAAACTCCACGAATAACTGCTTAAAAAAAACACAAATTTTATTGATAAATGAATAAAACTGTAACATCTTTGCTAAAATCATTTTAGACATACGACTCAATACTGCAGCTTTTGGGATGTTTCTTTGTCGAAGTCCCGCTTCATCCCAGTCAATTATGAGCAGAAAATCACTTAAATAATTCTCGGAAATATATTTCTCTTGAACAATTTTTGCCCACTCAAAAATTATTTCTTTTGTATCATTAGTAAAATTTCCAAGGTTGGTCGACATTTTATTTTTACGGTTTGGACGTAAAAACCAAATAGTAATAAGTAGTAAGGCAATGATGAAAATAATTATATGTTTTGAAAAGTATAATATTATGATACAAAGTGCGAGAGCTAAATAAGAAATAGTACTCATTTTTATGATTAGGAGAAAAGAGGAGGAAAAAAAATGTTTTTTGATTTGATCTACAAATTTTCATCAGATGGCTTTTTAAACTATATATTTATCCGGTAATATTCTCCATTTTACCATTTTATTAATGTACTAGAAAGTTCTATATAAGTAACTTTATCGTTCTTTAGTATTTCATAAATTTTAATATCAGGAATTTTTGTCGGGTTGCGAATTTCAATCCTTTATGAAACCGTCAACCTATATCCCAATGATTTCATGTTTTACACGTGATTTGCAACTTAGCTTATTCACTTTTATCAACAATAATATTGGGGAGTATTTTATAAGATTCAATAAAAATCGATACTCTAATATGCATAATCATTAAACGAAAAATATTTTCAACCTTATTATCATGACATGAAAGATATCTTTCAACATTTTCTTCTTGACCATTGTTGATATTATTAATTGGTGAGATTTGGTTTTTATGTAATGTAGTATAGAATTTATTAATTGATAAAGCTGCCCCATAACATTCATTAATTTTAAGTATTAGCTTAAGGTTAAAAAATAAAATATGAGATTGCTTTTATTGCCCTAAGTCTATACTAATGTAAATTAAAATTGCATATCATAATTTAAAATTTAGAAAATACCTGAATCATTGATTGAGGTATATCTTGTAAAGATATTTAAAAAATATATTTGTTCTTGTTCAATCTGAAATAGAGCTTGGAAAACCTTCAGATCCGCAACTAAATTAGGTCGCAATATGCTTAATACTCAGCACCTTACAAAATGGTGATCTAACTTGCAACTTTACGATTATCTGCAAACCATTAAATTCTCGATTAGCATGAACAAGAAAGAGCGATATCGAATCGAATTTATTCCTATTGAGATTGTAACAAAAATTAAGCTGTATAAAATAAAAGATAATAACCAAATTTATTTGATCTAATACATAAATATCATTTTGTAACACACTCTTGGAGTATTAAACTCTGGAAAATTGTCGGTGTTTTGAGAATGTATAAGCAGATCGAAGATAAATAAAGCGAGGTGAAAAATGGCAAACTTATTACACTATGGATTTTGAATGTAAAAGTATAATTAGGGAGAAACAAAAACATAGATGGCAAATAAATTCTTTTCTTTTATATAGGGCATGTGTTGAAAGAAAAAGCAAAATGCAATGGCTAAAATTTCAACTAATAATTTTGACTTAAATTCTTGCCATATCATAGATCCACTAAAAATATTAAAGCGAATTGTTTTGAACTTATAAACTACCAAAATCAATTAAAATAAAGGAAACTAAACTACGTGCAGGTCTGAAACCCTAAATATATATGAGTTCGACTTGCAGATCTGACATTTCGGATCAAATTAATTTGACTTTCCACGAATAAGCTGATAATTTTAAGATCCGTGTTAAATCCCAAGGATGTTATAAAAAGAGGAAATTTCGTCCTGTGTTTGCGATAGTATTAATTCTTTTCTCTTAAGGCCTATTACAGAGCTTGTATTTTTATTAACCATTCTTTTCTTATTCCTTAAAGTCGATTACTATAAATTGTTAAATTGATCGGCTACATTTTGTTCCTGTTGTAATACTATTTCGCTTACCAATAAAGATTACTAATACCCTTCCCCGAAATTAGGAAGTGAATATAGATATAATATCACCTGGTTGATCTTTTGCATTCGTGATAATATAACCACCAGTAGTGCTCCGAGCCGGTCGAATCGACCCGGGTCATTTGACCCGACTCGAGAAAAAATTCGAATCGGGACTTTCATTTTATGTCACGAGTCCTAATTTCTTAAAACCCGTCGGGTTAGGGTCTCGATTTTGCTTGACCCGGGTGACCCG